ACAATTCCATACTCAATTTCCCAACAACTGCCTGAATAACTCGAAATTGATTTTTAAATCACGCAAAAGTTACCTACTCTTATAATCATAACGAAAGTAATTTCGGCGTAAAAATGGTTGAATTCACGGCACGCAAAAATTGCTTATTTCGCGTAGACGAGTTGAAATAATCGTTTCGCGTCGGGCCTTTGCTCTCTCTCTGTTAAATTAAACCGTTATACCTTAAATATACGGTTTTCGCTCTTTAAATGCCAGCCGTTTGTTACTGGGCGTGTGATGGAAATGTTGGTAGTTTGCGTTTTAAATGTGTACAGTGTATTTTTAACTAACGACGAGAAGGATTAAAAAATAAACTTTTTTTAAGTTATCTCAATCTCAACAATGTCTAAAACTATACAAAAGTATTGATAATTAATATTGAATGTAAGATTATAATCACCCTAATAAGTGAAGTTTTAAGTAAAATTTCTTATTAAACCAAAATTTTTATAACTTATATGTGCACTGGGTGGCTTTTTATCTATCCCGATTCGAGCGCTAGTGGTTATAAGAAACATCAATACCGATTAATTAAGTTTTCGGTCGGGTAGGGCACAGAACTTTTTTGACGTACTACATTAACGCGTGATAAAATTAACAGAGGGAATGGGCACAGAAGCGAAGTGAAGACAAAGAATGGGCAGAAATGTTTCTGCCCCTCCCGTAGGAGATACTAGAATTCCCACTCTTATTGTATCCAACATTGTACTGTATTTATATCTCTCAACTCCATAACTACCTAAGTATTTCATTCGAAATGATATGAAGGTGTTGCATTGGACATATTCGTGGCTTCATTTACCCTAACTAATTAAAATGGTGTTGAACGTAGGCACTTGGGTGTCGTAAAAACTTTCGTCAATACTTGAAGCGAGGGTTGTGAATGAAGGTTTTGATTTAGTTCGCTGTTGAAGTATGTTAACTGTCGTACGGGCAGAAAAGTTGCCTGCCCTTATTGCAGCACGTGGTCCCACTTAGTTTAACTTTGTATTACTTTGCATTTGTATTTTTACTTATCTCGTTTCATATAATATGTTGTATAATCTTTATTTTTTATATAAAGTGGCGTCTTCCAATCTGTGACACTTTTATTGTGTTCTCGTTCTTGGTACTGTTTGCAATAAAACTGGTTTTATTTCTATAACTTTAGTGTTTCATTTATTATATTGAAAATCAAAATATACTTCGGGTTGTAGATATAAGTTTACGCGAGTTGTATATATTAAAATAAAACACGTTAACGGTTTAAAACGATAGATAGATATCTATCTTTATTTTATCTCGAAAAAAGTTTAACTATACAGGGTGTAAATGGAACAGTTCTGAAACCCTATGAGGCCATATATTAGGGGCTAAAAGGTGTTTTATGGTGCTATTCATTTTCATTTATTTTCAGATTTTTTTCAAAGTTTTTAATACGAGTATAAAATGTACAGCGTACAGCCCTGAAGCATATTGCAATACGTTTTGTAAATAGTCGTATTAATAGATAAATCGTTTTTACGTTTATTGTACCTATCTTGTGGTAAAAAGTGGACACTGATACAAATTGTTTTGCGTTTGTTCGAAGTACTCAAGACGAAAAAAAAACAAAACCTACATGTCATACGTACAATAACATAAAATACAGCAAATAAATAAGCAACTTAACAAAAAACTTACATTTAGATCATATTATTATGTTAAAACTATTTACTTACGTGAAAGATAAAGATATTGAATACTGAATAACTGATGTCGTGATCACAGCAAAATGTACCGGACTCGTATGTATGTATCGTTATACACTTGCAGTAATTATTAACTATTAGACACTACACATCCACCTAAGAATAACTTATCTGTAGAATTTACAATCAATCACTTAAACATACGTAAACCCTTAAGACGCGTGACGACGTGCATCAAGGTCAAGTTAATATTCGCAACTAAAAAAAAATATTAAAAAAGGATGCCACACGCTTTTCGACTAATCAGGTGAGGGGGCGTGGACTAGACACTCTTTGTCGGAATTTACCGAGCTAGCTTTTCGGCGCGTACGGCGGCTAAAATTAAACGAAGTCGTAGTGTTGCCGTTTTGTTTTTTATAACGAGTGTCGATAAAAAAACAGATGTACAGTTTAATAAGATAGGTTCTATGTTTTTACAACTAATTAAAGAAAGGCTTAAAATTATTCCTTATAAATTAATAATTAAAGATAAAATAAAGGAGTAAGTATTGTCTGTATTTAATGTTTAATTAAGGGATTGTTGATGTTAAGTTTCAAAAAGTTAAATGGAAAAGATTAACTTATTTACAATTTATTTAAGTATAAATATGGACATTTTAGGTGCTTTGCAGTAACCGTGGTTTATGAAAGAAGGGCTTGTTGTTAAATAAATTGTAACTTCAAATTAACGAATACATTTCACGTTTAAACCGTTATAAGTGTTTTATTTTAATAAGAAGTATGTACATGGAACAAATAAATTTATCGGAAAAATAAATAGTGGTTTATCGATATTATAGTTTACCGATATTCGAGTGTATTGAGGTACATACCTATACCTATTCTACTACTTTATAAATGTTGTTTAGTTGCCTGTAAACATTTCTTGCGTCATCACGTTCCTGCTAATTTTAGGAACTCGTAATTATTTAGTTTTTAGTGTCTTAGTTAGTTTTGTTCTTTCATTTCTCTAAATTGTTTTTATTTACATTTTAGTTGGTTTCTTTTTTGTGCTTATTTAATTTGTGACATTTCGTGGTGTGTTAGTTTTATTTAAAATTCTTGCGTCGAATTTGTAACCAGCACGTGAGTATCTCATTATGTTAATTTATTTAGGTTTACTTTTGGTAATGCGAAAGAGGTGTTGAGAATTTACTGGAGAAGGTAGGGACCTCTCGTCTGCTGGCCGTCTAAATTATGCAGTTTTAATTGCGGTTTTGCTATGGTGGTTTTGTCTTTCTTATTTATTTGAAGTAGTATGAAATATACATTTCGAAAAAAGTATTTAGTATACACTAAATACTTTTTTCGAATATTACAACTACCTATACGCTAAGATGAAATAAAAAATACCTAACCTACTTAAATTGATCAGCTGTTCACGTAACGTTTTGCGGGTGTGTAGGTCATAATGCTTCTTGGCTGAACGCTGTACATTTCATACTCGTCATTTAAACTTTGAAAAAAATCTTGAAATAAATGAAAATAAATAGCACCATATTACACCTTTTAGCCCCTAATATATGCCCTTATAAGTTTTCAAAACTGTTCCATTAACACCCTGTATAGTTAAACTTATTTGAAAATTAAATAATTAAATTAAATTATAAATATCGTGGTTTAAACCGTTATAGTGTTTTATTTAAATCAATTAATTTAATGAGTTGCAGTTGTTTCGCATGTGTGACGTCATCGTGTTAAATTAAACCACTACGTCTCAACATCCATCTTTATTTGAATTGTTCCACACATAATCATTGTTTACAAAGAGGTTTTCTGTATGACAGCTTAATGACACATATCATGATTAAATTATTACATTTGAAATATCTTAATAATAAAATGCAATGGCATTTATCAGCCTACTACTAAAATTACACAAAACGACAACAGTTAAAATATGTAATGGACATTTATTATTTCTATGCTACTTTGTAAGATTTCTAAGTTTTATTAATAACACAAAATTGATTTCTAACATTTATATTACCCACGACTGTTATGTCGGACACATATTATTATTATATATTTAAACTCAACCAGTGGCTTTGTCTGTTCACATGATTTCAGTTGCTAAATAACAAAGTAGGATATAGTCAATATATAACTTAAGAAAAATGTACATACATATTATGTATATAAAACAGTGAGTTTCTCGTGAACCAAATGATGAAGAACATTTTTTAATAGTAGATATTTGAAATTATCAAAACGAAATTAATTGTATTGCTAATACTGAACTTTTCGTGAACGGTTTTCGAGCTGTTTAGGATACGGGTTTCGAGTTTTATCCGAGGGCATTTCGATGGATGAAGTATTGAATTTTATACGTTTATATCACGAGCCCAAAAAACAAATAAAATTATGCGAGTTACAACAATTGTCATGAAAGTATACGCGATGCCAAATATTTTGTTATTAAAGATAGAATCTCTAAATGCCGGGTACCCTTTTAGCCAAAATTACTCGTCTGGAACGAGGTCACATGACACTCACTATCATCACAAACTGCTATAGTTTGTCCTTTAATTTGGTCCCCTCAATTCCCTACATAGAGGTCCGGTCTGGTTGAAACACAATTTTGTACAATGTGAAACTTAAAAACAAAAGGATTTGTAAAAAATAATTCAACGATAGTACTTAAAAGGATCGTATGTATTCTAAAAAGTAAATAAATAAATCGTTGTAGTTGACATACAGATGACTTCAGTTGTAATAACTATACCACTTTCTGATTATCTTTACGGTTGAACCGTTGAAGATAATATTTGTTTTTTTCACAATTTCAAAATTCCTTACAGCTCTAGTAAAATGTTTCTTAACTAGAAAGATACTTATATCATAATCTTTAATATAATTAACATCAATAAAAACAAAATACTTATAATTATATCACATTTCTTTCCAAAAGTCTTAATTTATATTTACAGTATGTGTCTACATTACTTTCCGAGAATATTTTTTAATATAACGTTTTAAAATACAACTATTAACCCTCCGCGAATAGAACACAAAGTATCCTATCTGTGAACCCGTTTAATAAAATGAGGCTAATACAATGTCAACATACCTCATAGCTTTTCATAGATTAAATTAATGAAAGTGACATTCGTTGTGGCTCTACCAAGTTATTCTTAGGAAAAAAATAATTGAAACTGGAGGAAATTTTAACTAAAGGAAAGTTCTCTTTTTCTAAAGCAATAATAATGTAAAAACCCTAACCGTGTAATAATTAATTTTTATTCATTCTCTTCAGCGTAACAGTAGACCAGATGGGAAAAAAAGAATTAGAAAACTTATCCGTATACCGGTCGACGAAATAGATGATGTTGTTTTTACTTTTCTGTAATCCTTAGCTTCATTTTGTGATGGATAAGTATACGTTCTGCCAGTTACGCTTCTAACCTCGTTGGGGCAAGGCAATAATTCCACAGGAATTTGTAATAATGTTCTTTTGCTATCACCCACTTTTCGGGATTCGTCTAAGTCATTGTCATCAATTTCATCGTGAAAATCTTCAGGATCCTTTTTACATTTATCCCTACCTAAGTTGTTTTTAATATCGATTCTCTGGTAGAAAGGGAATTGTGAGTTCGAAAAATCAGAATTGAATTTACATACAAATTGTTCTAAAGACGTTTTCACTTTGATACTACTGGCTTCATTGTGAAGTTTGTACATCCAAGCTAGGTGACAATCGCAGTCAAAATCATTACCTGAAAAACGATTGTCGTTAGTTTCCTTTAAATTTATAATACGAGTTCTAAATAATTATTATCAATTCGGGAAACATTGTAATTACATGAATTATATTATATTACATGTATACTTTTAAATGCTTGTGAATTGAGCTATTGTTTATCTGTTTCTTCACACGCACACCAATTAATGCTATGTTTGTCTCAAATATTTAAAAATTGTATATCAAATCATATAAATTGAAATAAACGCTTTTTATACTGTAAGTATTAGCAATAAATATCTTATGTAGAATAGCCAAGCTGGACTAATTTTATTAAAGTAAAATTCCCAAAAATATTAGCAGATTTGTTATAGAAAAATCGTACATGCAAAAACACAACTTCTCAAATGAGTAATAATATTTGTTGATCGAAGTTAAGAAGAATAACACGTAAAGTATTTATTTACCTTCCAATGAAATATAACCCCTCTCTAATTTAATGTTGTCATAAAGTGGACTTAAGTTTTCAAAGGTAAATCTCTTTAATTTATTATTGCTTAAATCTAGTATAGATAGACCTCGAACTCCTTCAAACAATCCTTCTACTATTGTTACTAATTTATTATAATTTAAGCTCAATTTTTTCAATAATGACAATCCGTCAAAAGCTCTCCGTTCTAGTACGTATATTTCATTATGATCTAATAAGAGCTCTTCTAAATTCCAGAGCTCAGTAAAAGTAAAGGAATATATCTTAATAATTTTATTTTCTCTCAAGTCTAATCGGTTTAAATTTGCTAGTCCGTCAAAACATTCCTTTTTCAAATCACTAATATTATTCTTGTCCAGCTCTAATACTGACAAGTTAACAAGGTGCCTAAATGCACCGTCTTCGATGATCGTTATGTTGTTGCCAGTTAAGAAAAGTTTCTGTAACTTCGGTAGCTCGTAGAATGTATCCGTTTCTATCGTTTTTATATTGTTGTCATCTAAAGTGAGTACAGTGAGATTTGGCAAATTGTAAAATGCGTGTCTATTAACCACAAGTGAAATTTGATTTTTAGTTATTATCATTGTTTGTATAGATGTGATGTTCATAAAAGTGTAACTCTCTATTGTTGATATTGAGCTGTGTTTTATGCTGAAATCTTTCAATTTCTTAAGAAGTTCCAGAATCGTGGTAGGGACAAAAGCCAGCGCTCCATCAGCGCGTACATTGAATCCCAGTTTTTCTATATTTCTTTGCAAAGTAAATATCGACCACAAAGGATCGGTTTTCTCTATTCCTCCATTGAAGATCCAACATTCTATTTTTAAGGCATCGTTAATGCCGTTACTGTCTTCACAGTAGCAATGTATGTTTGGGCTTCTTTCGCCGATATCGCAAACGTTTGGTGTAGCTTGATCGCTTACTATTCTCCCATTTGCTTGCAGGGAGTGAATTGTAATGAGCAATAGTAGCACGGCAACGGGAATGTTTTGAGCCCGCATACTTTCTATCTGAAACAATAAAAACATATAATTAAATTGAATAAAAAGCACATGTTTTAGAAAACCTTATTCAAAAACTTTACGAAGTGACACCATTGTTTTTATTACTTTTTTACTAATACTATATTATTATTATAGCTACTTTTATAATATTACATCGAACTAAGAAGAAACGTTTAATTAAGATTACGTTAATTTAAAAAATTAAACAATATCTATTAATATAAGATATTATGATAATTATGAATTTTCCTTTTAGTTACTACTTAACCCTTTAACTAAAACAGATAATTATGTAGTTAGTTGCGCAAATTGGTTAGATTTCATAATGAATTGAGTTTGCGCTGTTGGTACCTAACTTGGTTACGTTGAAAATTGCCGTGTTCGTCGGTGTTTATTCTGCTAAGACTGCTGTGTTAGAGTTTTAATGTGACCTAACAGTCAGCAGTAAACATTAATTAAAGTGTAAGAGAACTCTTAAAATATTTTTATCAAAACAAAATGTGCTATGAAAATGCACGATAAAAATGTATTGCAAAAATAGTTTGCATTAATTTGGGTAGCTTTATGAGTAATACGTTGATTCTAATTACCTTTTATATGCCCGAATGATCATTAATAATTATATTATTTTAAGTTTAATGATTAACACTAGTAATATACATTTATTGTTGAAAATTGTTTTCATTTTTTTTTTCAATATAAATAGCGTTAAATTTTTAAAATTCCATTACGTGCATTTAAAATATTATATGTAAGAAATTTTAAATTTCCCGCTAACCCTAAGATTTGACATATGTCTGACGTAATGTCAAAATAATAAAAATATAAATTAAATAATAATAACAGAGGATGCCGAAATAACATATTTTGTTGTTTTATAGGGAGATTTTTATTAATTTCCATGCGTGAAATAAAACCAATCAACCTTTCAAGTTAAAAGTTTTCAAGCACTTATGCAGTTTCAATGTTGATTACATCGTAGTTTTTAAATAAACTTTTTCAAGTTCAACCTTAAGAAGACTCAGTACTTAAACGGATATCAGCTTGTACTCCCTACAGAACTACTCCCTGCAAAACTCCTCGCAACCTGTCAGAGCACTAAGGGATAGAGCATCGTATCGTAAAACTGCATGGTCAGTGATTATCACCCCAGTTAAGGACAAAGCGTTTGATTTTCACTCTGGAAGTAAAACTAGTTCGGATGCCTCGGTACTATCCATGCACGTTAACTTGCAGTTTGAAAATTATGAACGTGGAGTTTGGAATTATTACGTAATACAAAAGGCTTTTTCGTGTGTGTAAGTGTAATGGGTATAATTCTGTTTGAATTTGGAACTTTCTTACGCTTACGGTGTAAAAAGCTCACGAAACATTTGGCATGACACCACAACTGACAAGAACGAATTTCAAAACTGCCATTAAAGTTTTTCAAACGCAAAACATAATTAATTCAATGCCAATTAGCATTTTATTAAAACTCGATTTAAATTTCTTGAAAATGTTTCTTTTTTATATACTTCAGTTTATAAAATAGCAAAATTTAGTTTAATAACAGGGTGAAAAGAGGCTAACAGCATCAGTAGAAGTCATCATCAGAAGTAAACAGTCCCAACATGCACGTAACAGATTATTTGAATTATTTTGTTATATATATATATATATATAATTAAACGTAGTATAAATCATTATTTTTGTGATGTATAACTGTAGGTAGTTCACAAAATGTTTAAAATAATGTTCGTAATATTTGATGACGTCCGTCTAACACTTGGTCGGTTGTTTGGATTGTTATAAAAGAGGGGGGCGTTGTAGAGCGGGTAGGGCAGTTGCTTTTGTGAAAATGTACGGCGAACATTTGTTAGAATGTTTGTGATACCAGAATTGTCTTTTGCTTAACGTTGCTTGAAATGTTAATTTTGGACGTTGTTGGACGAGATATGATGTACATTATTATATTGTAATAAATAGGTTATGATATATATTCTTTTTTATTATATTGAATTGGCATCAATATATGTCAATTAAGTATCGTAACCTTGAGACTATATAGATAAATGTCTATAAACTGTATATATAATTGGGGTACCATTATTTGTTAAATTCCTAGACGTTTGTATACAATAAATGTGTTGCTGTTATTATGGGGAATACGTTGCTGAAATATATCTAGTTTAACGAAATAGAATAGCTTTTGACGCTATATCTTCTTGTTATTTACATAATATCCTTGAAATCTCATAAAGTCCAAAATCTATATTTACATATAATGTCTATTTAAATAAAAATCTAACACACGCATTAATACAAACAGCATATCCGATTTCATCTTCGTTTCTATGTAGAAGCAAAAACCAAGCGGATATCGAGTTATGTTTTTTTCAATTGAAAATCCGGGTACGAACGCCTCAATTTAAAGAGAGTTTTCAAAAAACGTTTGAAATCCGGACGAATGTTTTTGAGGAATGTTTCATATAAGTTGTTCGAAACTGGGATCAATTCATTCTTGATCCTAGTCAAAATATAAGAATCCTTTTGACCTCTGGATTTAACTTGTAATCTTTATTTTTTTTACGATATTTACATAAAGCTTACCCGAGTATATCGGTTAAATTATTTATATTGTTGTAACTACGACTTGACGTATCGGGTGTTTTGCAGTAGCAGTGTCTCCCTGCGACCACGGCTGTTGCACAGCATCAACAAAGAGACGGTTTTTATTAAATTTCTTTTTTTTTGCTAAGCTGGAATCAATAATCATCTTATACACGTATATTGGATTGTATCGGGTATATCTTAGACTAGAAATATACATTAGACAACCCACTTTTATAATCGTTATACATTTTCATAAGGCTTTTGCAGCCAATTCGACACTCGTACAGTAAGAAAATCCAAGAATAAACTTAGCATATTACAAAACCGTTTAATTAATATGTTATATCACCTTGATTATAAAATACAATAGTGCGCTTGAGCAGTTTTTGTTTACTTTCATTGTAAATTAATAATCACTGAAAGTTGTTCCAATAAAATTAATATTGTTCCTTAATTACATATATACTCAAAATTTATACTTTCTTTGAAAACTTGAATGTGAAATATTAGAAAGTATGATTTAAGGAAAATCTTTTAAAGTCCTCTTTTATTCATAATATTCTTCGTTTTTCTTAAATTTTTGAACTTTACGATTTTACCATACGTATACACAATATGATATATAAAGGAATAGTGGAGAATTTGAAGTCAAGTCGTAATACGCTTCAGAAAATGATTGTCAACAACAGTTTAATTACGACCATTGTGCTTATAAGATGTATTCTGAAACGGGAATAACTCCGCGCCATTAATTATTACAGCACTGCAGTTCTCCGTTTTGTTGTGTCAGAGGTCATCTGTCATTGCTGTCTAGATACCAGATGCTGTAATAAAATAAGGGCTGTCAATTGTCAATTGTTTTGTGACGCTTGTTAATACAAAACAATATCTGATGATGTTTTGCATAAGCAAAAGTCTTATCGTTTAGCTACTATTAGCCTAGTCGACTAATTTCTAAAGAATTACATTAAAATGTTGTATTGTCTGTGGTTAACGCGTCTAGTAAACCACAGAGATATAGATAATTTAACTAATACATTTAGTTTAACCGTTAAAAGTTCTTTTCTCTTAAATTAAATTTAAGCACTCTGCAGTTTACGCGATACACATTCAAATAAAACACTTAATGTGTTACGAAGAGGAAAACCCTTGGCACGCTGCGAAGACGGTTTAAAAAGAACTGCTAGCATAGACTGGGCGCCGTTTTTTTGGAGGTTATACCCAAACCGTGGTTCTTGTCCAATTATAAGTTTTGATAATTTAAAATAAATAAATTGAGCAACAGCACGGAAAGCTGACAATGCCGGTTCGAGCGCCCGAGTCGAAATTTTTTCAATTTATTTTCGATTTTAAAATTATTAGTGCTTCAGGCAATAACATGGAAATAATGTTTTCAAACATTACATAGATATTTAAATTACTAAAATAGTCTAAGCTTAAGTACTAACAAAATCTGCTTAACGTAATATATCAATAAATAATGTAAAAAGCAAGAAATAACAGGCTTATTATTAAGTAAGCATTCCAAACGTCGTGCCGTAGTTAAGTAAGTTCAAATAAGTTTAACTTATATAGTTCGAGTTTTAAGTATTTTATTTGAATAGGCATTGTAATAGTTACAACCCATTCTAAACATAGTATGTAAATTGGAGGTTACATTATTAGCTCTTATGGATGCATTTTACACCAATGTTATGTGACAAAAACTGAACCTATTAAGCTAAAAGCGAGTTGCGGTGGCTGACCTGGCTTCGTCGTGACATACATCAAATACATATTCAAATATTGAAATCATTTGCTTTGGCGACTGTCCAGCTATATGTTTCTGTGCACTCATGTTATTTAAATTATTTAGATATTTCATACCTTTGCATACTAAAATTAACGTCGAAGTCACTGGTATAGCACATGAAATTTCGTCAGTACTGAACAAAATATATATAATGTTCTATACCCTGTTTTTAGGGCTGTTCGGCCGACGTGAATTAAGAAGAGTTAATGCTTCGATCAATCGAGGACATAACATCTTTTGATGATCCTTTTCTCACTCACGTCGGCCAAACAACCCGCAAAACAATGATATGCTGAACGATGGCCGTAAAAGCCTTCCTATAATTAAAAAAGATATCATTTTTTCATACTCATTTTTTAGATATCTTGAACCGTTTTTGAAGCGTACGCATCGAAAACCCACAGAGAAAATTTTTTTTTCCGTTTTTTCCACATTTCCCACACTTTCTTCGCTCCTATTAATCACAGTGCGATGTTTTATAGCCTTTTATAACCTTCCTCGATTAATGTTCTAAGCAACACAAAAGTTATCAATTCGACCCAGTAGTTCCTGAGATTAGCGTGTTCAAACAAAAAAACTTTTCAACTTTTATATATTAGAATAGATAAGT